CTCCTCGTGGACGCTGACAGGGAAACAACGAAACCTCGGAAATGGATAGACTAGACCTAGAACTAAACAGAACGGAATTAGACAGAACAGAGACTAAAATTAGCAATACAAAATGAATACGAAAATAGCATGGATTGAATAACACTAAATTAGACCCCAAGATAATAGCAAACTAAGTGACTCAACAAACGAGAAGCGAGCACTAAATCAAACTGGACATGCAAACGGTCCACCGATTACATGACGATAAAACATTGGCCAAATACATAACTGGCGGGGAAAGCAGGTGAAAACTAGCTGTCCACTCCTCCGGGCTTATCGGAGTTTAGGGCTAAGCCGCGGCTGACTGCAGCGGGAGATAAGTGGCGCCAGTCACGAGACGGCGGAAAACACCGCTGTAGAACGCCAGCGTCGAGATAAGCCAACGCATGTCAGCGTCAAGACGAGCTGCCTGCTACAGTCTACCGCCGGGTCGTCGAGCCCAATACATGGCGGCGGGACACGTGACCTCTCGGGGTGCAGCCTCGGCGGCCACTGGGAGCACGGGCTGTTGGAGGTGAAGCTGGTAGACAACGACGTCTACGAAGTGACCCTGGCGGACAACGAGCTGTCCGAGGTGGACCTGGTGGACAACAAGCTGTACGATATGGTCTCGGTGGTGGAACGGCGGGGCGGTCGGACGGTGCTGACGGCGCCAGCGGATGTCGGCATTGACCAGCTGCGTCTGGTGTGACGAATGTTGTGATAGCGACGTCGCCTGACTCATGCGTTAAGGACGCTCGGTGTATTTTCCAGCTGCCGGTGCTGTTGACGCTAGACGTGTAACTGCCTCTTGTTTCGCACAACGTTGTTAGTCATGTAAGTGGTAGATGTATGCATCCAAAGGCGCTAAAACCTGAGGGCCCATATATGACTGAGCCTGCCCCACATCCCAGCGTTCTGGAAATCTTTTCGTGGCTCTAAGGGTGCTGATTGACAGGACATAATAAAAAAATCCCCGCTCCCAATTCGGGAGAATTGTCGTTGTCTCAGTTCACATTCAGTGCGTTGAGGCGTGTACATGCAAATGCAGTAGCCAGTCACTGGAAAAAAAAACGCGTAACCAGTCGCGGACGCGCTTCATTCCGCCGCGGCATGCGTACGGACGTGCTGCAGTCCGGCCCGACGTGCGCGCGGACGTGCCTCAGTACGGCGCGACGTGCGCGCGGACATGCCTCAGTACGGTGCGACGTGCGTACGTACGTGCTTAAGTCCGCCATGGCGTGCGTGCGGACGTGCCTTGGGTCCGGCCGACGTGCGCGAAGACGTGCGACCGGAGGCAACGGATGTGTTCGGCGTCACAGCATGCTTCAGGGGAGCCGTGCGGCGCTCAACCAATGGCTGCCCGCCAGTGAACAGGTCACCAACGGGGCAGGGGACACTCGCCAGGACTGCCGCACTCGCGTGCAGCTAGCCTATTCTGTGCAGAGGTCAGACGACGCCATTCTGAATAAAACCGTGGCGTTACATCTCGTACCACATTCGATGAATGATTAACGAGATTCACTTCATCAACCAAATCAGGGCGTTTAACTTACATATTTATGTGCGGATTACAACCCAGGCTGAACTTCTCAATTGATGGCTGCTTTACGTCGGCATGTGATGGGTATGTAAATCTAAATGCAATGCAATACGATAGACATATAAAATTGCAAAATGCATGACACTGCTTTCCTCGCTGGAAAACTATTTTGAGCCGACAGAAAAAGAACAATCTTCCTTAGAAACTCCGAGATGCAATTTACGGTGACTGAAAAATGGAGAGAAACTAGGTTTCAGATGCAGGTTAGCTCAGCATTTTCGGTTGAGTCTCCTGTCCTCAATCGATTTCCGGGAGTGACCTCCCTGACCTGACCTGTGAGAGGACGAGGACTGTCACGAGCGTATTGATCACGTCCTGGTGAACGAGGCGTGAAAGAGTTCCAGCCTTATTACCAGCGTACATGCGCTGACAGCTGATAAAACCCGCACGTCCAATGGGAAGGTTTTGTCGAACATAATGCACAGGTTTTTGAGTTGGTTACAAGGCTTTAAGGGCGTTCGTCACGGAAGGCGTCGTTGACTATTGGAACGTTCCACAGAATTTGACAGACTCCATGTGCGACGAGCTGAATTTTGTTCGTGTTAACGGTCAGATTCGGTTATCCGCTACTGTTTCTTTCATTTAATGCGGTGTATTTAGCTGTTTCCTGTAACGTCAGCTATATACTTTTGAGTTAATCACTCCACAGCCACTGACACCATAGACAGATGAATATAGTTTTATCTTAACGCACACCAAATTGACTACAAGTTGAATCGAATACCCTGTTTGTTTGCCCTGTAAGGTGTCACTCTTCAGTAAATGTCTCCTCACAGCCCTACTGGACTCCACGACGCGGAAAACACTGTTGGTCGCCTCTGGTTTCACCTCATTGTCCATTACCAAATGTTTTTTTTTTCTCGGAAAGCTTTTCATTCCATGCGGTCGGACGGGCTCGTCCACCCTTGGATAGCATCTCAGTCGTCGTTCCCGCTCTGTGAATGGCCGCTGCATTAATGTGTCTGAAATCCGGAGAGAAACTAGATTTTGAGCGAAGGTTAGGTTAGGTTAGGTTAGCGTAGGTTAGGTTAGGTTAGGTTAGGTTAGCGTAGGTTAGGTTAGGTTAGGTTAGCGTAGGTTAGGTTAGGTTAGGTTAGCGTAGGTTAGGTTAGGTTAGGTTAGCGTAGGTTAGGTCAACACCTTCGGCTGAGACCCCTCACGCCAATCGATTTTGGAAAACCATATCTCTGATCATGACTGTCTCACGCCTCGTTTCCCAGGGCGTTATCGGTAGGCTCATGACGGCCCTCGTTCCCTCACAGGTCAGATCAAGGATGTCGCATTATCTGCGCCGCTCCAACGCTTCTGCTCACAGCTTACTTTGTGCCATGTTCAGTTCTTACCAGCTCCCATCGGCTGTTACCAGTTCCCTGCCAGTTCTTTTCACATCACATGCTGAATGAGAGGCGCCCAAAGCCCGTAGTGTCCTTGACGAAGCCACATGACCGCGAGACACCGCTGAAGGGATGAACATCGTGGAGAAAGACTAGTGCCCAATGGGAAAGCCCAAAGCCCATGATCCACGCAATTCTACCGCCATACTTCCGCCGTGTCACCATTCATTGCTATCGAATCAAAAGCTGAAAATGAGTGTCGTAATAAACCGGGCATGTTTCAAATGACTACTATATAGGTCCGTTGGATAAATTAAAACCATTAGTTTCAAATGGCTGTTGAACAGCGTGTTCCATGTCTGTCCACGAGCCGATTTTAAACTGCGTAGCGCCGTTCGAGGTCAGATTCGGGAGCGGGTCTGCGATTTAGCGTAGGTGTCAGTCGACACCGCTGAGGTGAGGCGAGGCACAAGAGTGCAGGTTAAAGTCGACGGCCTTTTCAGCCTTTCAGCTTTTGACGCGTCGTGTATTTCCATATTGTTACAGGACTCACGAGAGCCAAAGAGCAAACGTACCAGCAGTGAGAAGAGCAGCCGGTGGACAGCTGGCCAAACCGAGGCAGCTAACAGCCTCGGGAGCTCAGTTTATCGATGCGACTGCCGGCTACATAGTGATTTGTAATCGCCTCAGATTGCTCGATTGTAGACAAACATGTCGTTGATATCAATGGGCTGGTACCTGTCAAGTCAATAGCATTGGGGGACCGCCACACAGCCGTTGATATGGCGTCAATTCATGACCTGACACTAAGGGCTTAAGAGAGGCTTTCAGAGGCCTTTCATTCCGTGAAAACTTCGCGGCGACAATGCCCCCCCCCCCCAAAGGGCAGTTTTGGGGTCGTGCTGCCTCCCCCTTCCCCACAATTGGAGGCGGCACTGGCAAAAAGTCCTGGCATTTTTAGCAATCTAGGCTGCACGTCGGGTTTTAGATGGGTAAGAAGGGTCCAAATAATCAAAATAGCATCTAAGCCTATGACGGTGCCTTGAATCAGTGAACAAAGAACGTAAGCCTAAGCAGAGCTGCCTAGCTGGAAAGGCTCTTATGGCTCAATCCGGTCCCACTCATGAGCAATGTCCTGACTGCGGCAATCAAGCCAATAGCAGCAGAAAGCTGAAAACAGCGCGTGCCGAGACTTGAACGCGCAATCTTTCTATAACGACATCAGCACTCCACCAAGCCGCTATGGCGCCACCAAGCGTGTGATGTCCTTCTTCAGCTGTCTCTCCTCCCTGGCCAGCTCCTCTAGCCAGCCAGGCTCGCAGAATAAAATAGTGGAAGCCTCCTCCAGAAGAGTGGCAATCTCCTTCCACCGCACCTGCGACGAGGAATGGAATGGAATGGGTTCTTAGTCAGGGGCGCGGCTTTGCGCCAATTTTTAACTCATTATCTCTGTCCACGTTGGCTGTTAAGTGCATTCGTGAAAAACGGTATACACAAAAGAAAGGCGATAATAATAGCCTTATTCCTCGCAGAATAATCAGAAAATTAGAGAGTAAAACGTGAGAACACCATGGTCGTTTGAGTGTTAACCATCGTGCTAGGATCTGCAGTCACATCAATCGACATCTTAGTTTCCAGCACCTACGCAAGGTTTCCTCATCACAGTTCTTCCGTGCGCACTGCATGGGTACTTCAAAAATTGCACGTCAGCTTAAGAGGTAACTCTTTTCCTGCAGTAAGAGGTAACTGCCTACAAAACAGGGTTACCACTTAATAACATTTCATTCCAACATCAGGAACGCGGCACAAATTAGCCGCAATCCGGGGAGAAATCAGGAGTTCGGATTGGGTAGACTAAGCATGTTGGCTTAGCCTCCGACCGATTTAGGAAGTGACACCCTGGTTACCAACCATTAATATTCAGCTGCCCCCCTCCCCTCCTTCTCCCAACGCAGATAAACGATGAAAGAGTTACTGCGCCGCAAAGCTATGTGCTCTTGTGTTGTGATTGCAAGTCATGTAAGCAGCTTTCCAGTCAAGTATCATGCGCCATCCTCACCGTGTCGGGGCTTCGTGTCTTCACCGACAGATGTCTCTGCGTCCTGCAGAGCTCCAGCGTCAGCACGCCCCTGAAGCGCGTCTGGCCGGGAGTCAGAGCGTCCGCCAGCAGCAGCAGCTGCCGGCACAGCTGCTCCTTCCTCTCCAACTGCTTCTCCGTCAATTCTGTAACGTCGTATATCGTCAGTGACGTTACACTGTGTCACGGCGCCATTGCCTAACCGGTGTTGCTTATGTCTGGGTGACACTGTATCGCTTTGCCAGCTTCGTTTAGAGACACTCAAAGGCAGAGCCAGCGCCTTATCTTGGGAAGTAGGTCCTCGGCTCTGCTGATGGCGTAATGTCGGTCCGCCCCGCGCGTTATCAGTTGGTTTCGTTGGTTGCCGCCCGCCGCCCGCGCCGGCAGTAGGTCGCCGTGTCATGTAGGTCGTCGTCGCCGTGTCATGTAGGCAGTAGGTCGTCGTGTTGCCGTGTCATGGTCCCAAAAACTGTGGGCGCTCAAAGGCAGAAAACAAAAGCAGATACAAGTTTTTGGTGTCAAGTCACGCACAAGGCATACCCCGTAGACTACCGAAAATTGTGGGGTCATGGCGCGTAATGTTAAAGAGATATCCTAAGAATATATATCCTGAGTCAACATAAAACTACACATCATTCTGCTCAGAATCAAACAAGGAACACGTCTGAATAAAGTTCAGGCTGGTACTTGGAAAAGTTTCGAATAGGTTAGCGTGTAAAGCTAAAAAATAATTTTCAGGAATTATCGACCTTCGCCGATCGAATCAGGGCGAGGGTTAATGTCAGTGCCAACAGTCAAAGGGTTCAGTGCTAAGGACAAAAGGTGGATGCATTTCAGCGGGCATGTCATCGCTTATGTCTATAGACACCCACGACTTCGACGCCGGCCCGACCTGGCCACGTGTAGCCTGAGGCGGTGCCGTACAGCTGCACCAGGGCATAGTTGACCTCCGCCCTCTGGCTGCAGGAGGGGTCGAGCTGGGTGAGTACGTCCTCCAGACCCTCCACCGACCGCTCCGCCGTCTTCGTCAGCTGTGCCATCGAACCCCGTCTCTCCTGCACCTGCCAGGCAGGCACAGGACGGGTCAAATGGGACGTGAGCATGCCGACGGTCAAACAGCTGGTTGTTGTGCTGTTTGTCACGACCAGGTCGTAAGCGAGATGAGGCTGTCTGGACAGTGTCATGCTCTTTCAGGTGGCTAGACATGACGATTCAAGCCCAGATAGCGAGAATTCATTCCCGTTCCATTTCGTACCGATGCATTGTTTCTGAATGAACTGGTCTAATCTCCAATCGTGACTTTATCAATAAGGCATAACACCGTATCCTCAATAAGTCCTGATGCCGCATCCTCACCAAACCGAAATCAAGTCATAGATCATGCCACCAGTCTCGTCTTCACCTCCTCCGCCGAGGATTTTTTGCCGCAACGATGGCAGCGCCACGCAGCGGCCGCCTCGAGAGGCTCTCTGCTGACCAGGGGGCCGCCGCAACCCCGGCAAGACAGCGAACTAAGCCAGGTGTTCAGCTCAGTCGGATCCAGGCAGCGCTCGCAGCGACATCTGAAGCATTTGCTGAACAACAGGTGCTGTCGCCTAGCGGCGGTATCTGCAACCAGAACCCGCGCCTCAGGGCTTGCTACAACAGCTCCAGGCATACACACACGGGACTTGGCCAGTGACTGTAACACACGGGAGTCTAGCGTCCTATTTAGCTGGTGGGAGAAGAACGCATCCCCCTAACGCTCTTAACCTGCGCCGCAGTCCTCCAACTTGGATACGAAAGCATACCAAATTAGGAGAGAAGTACGCGTGTTGTCGAGGGGTGAGGGGGGACGAAAGAAATCTGAGCCGGACGGGGGCAGTCGAGTGCGGACCGAGTCATGAGCTGAGTCATGGGTGGACATGGAGCAGGACGAGGAAACGCTACAATTTTCTACCATCGGAGCCCCTCGTCCGGGAGAGGAAGTGTACCCCAAATGTTCTACCATCGGAGCCCCTTGTCCGGGAGAGGAAGTATACCCCAAATGTTCTACCATCGGAGCCCCTTGTCCGGGAGAGGAAGTGTACCCCAAATGTTCTACCATCGGAGCCCCTTGTCCGGGAGAGGAAGTGTACCCCAAATGTTCTACCCGCGGAGCCCCTCGTCCGGGAGAGGAAGTGTACCCCAAATGTTCTACCATCGGAGCCCCTTGTCCGGGAGAGGAAGTGTACCCCAAATGTTCTACCCGCGGAGCCCCTCGTCCGGAGAAGCTAACAGGTGTCCCTAATGTTCAACAGTGCATCGAGATCAAGTTAAGAAAAGTGCACTGACATGGCCGATCCATGCTCACCTGAGGACATGCATCGTTTTTCGGAAACGTCCACTTGAACTAATGACATAGAAGAGCTTTCAGTCTGCCCGCTCCCGATTTTCTCGAGGAGAGATACCGACGCCAGGATACACCTGTCATCAAACTGAACGGCATCGGCAGCCGTAGCTAACAAGGCAGCGGCGCCGGACGCGCGAGAACGAACACGCGTCTTGAGATCATACTTCCGAGAGAATCTCATGATCAATCCGTGGCTTTCAAGATTTATACTGGTGAAAACATTTCGCCCATAAAACTCTGGGGTTCTGCTCCAAGCAGTTTAAAAACTACAGGACCGGGAAAAATAGATACTCAATTATTACGTTTGGCATTGGCCATGTTGTATGGCAATACCGTCCTGAATTGGAAATGCTGTAAGTGCCAATCTGTTCCTTATCATCAATCTGAAAATCATACGGGAGAAATACACGCCTAAGACTATCCTCTACGTGTGCGAATTGACCCATAAAGCGCTCAAAGTTTTTTCAGATACAAGATCATTCTCGATTGCGCGTTGTGGTAAGTTGAAAAAGTAGGTCAGTTGATTTATCGGGCTGAAAAGTCATCTGTTATCTCGAAGGCAAATAAAATGAATGGAACAGTGCCCGTCCAAGTGACCCGGCCGAACGCGGTGATGTTCTGGGTCGTGTGTGGGCGTTTTACCAGAAGGGGCCTTTGTCTCATTCACCCATGGGCAGAGACGGAGAGGCTTACCAAGCCTCTCCGCCTCTGCTGCGCAGCACTTGAATCGACGTTCCCCGCTTCTCCCTTCCACTCACTCTAAAATACCTGACACCATCTCTTTCGCCCCTAACTCCTACTCGCTCTTCAGTGCCCGACTTGATGACCTTCAGCTCACACTCCTGCTCACTCAACAGCTCCCGGCTGTATGACCTTGACCTCACAATCTTACTAGCTCCATAGCGCCCGACTTTATAACCTTGCATCTTGACCTCACAATCTTACTAACTCCATAGCGCCCGACTTTATAACCTCCAGCTCACACTCCTGCTCACTCCAGAGTGCCTGCGTGTAGCTGGTGGTGATCCGCTGACCGGCCGCGATCCTGACGGTAGCGCGGACGGTGATGTTGTAGCCGTCGTCGAACAAGTGCCGCGTGTTGGGCCGACAGTCGTGGTTCTGCAGGGAGGCCGCCGCGTACACGGCACGTGCCTTGGCCGAGCCGATCCGCACCTGAAGAGATGTCACACGGTCACGTGACACCTGCAAACGTGTCGCAAGGCACGTGCCATTGCGAAACCCCGCCCACGACAACTTGGTGGCAGGGGTGAGCCCGAAGGTCTCGACGGCCTCAGGCCTTGCACAATGCGCATGACCAGAGTAGCGTCACGCATCTTGGGCATCTCGGTATCGAAACATATCGCTGCTAAACGTGATGTCACTCACCTCGAAGGCATTGGTGTCCAGCACGGCGCACATAGTGAGTATGACGTCCTCAGTGACGTCACACTCCGTGGGGAGGGCGGCGGTGAGGAAGGCGGCCAGTTGTGCGGCGTTCAGACGGTAGAGGGCACTATGTCGCCGCTCCTCCAGGTGGTGCTCCATCGAGCTGAGGGATGCCCAGGCCTGGAACACCACGAGGACCCGGGAGGACCCGATCAGGGGCAAGCACAGCTGAAACCGCATCAGCTCAAATCGTCAGCATCGCTGCGATGCGTCGGCAACATCTTCATCCCCTAGCGTTGAAGTAACACGAGGAAGACACGACACGCATCGACCACCTCAATAGCTCGCGATCGTTCATCCGGTTCACTGTGGAACGCGAGGACATTGACAAGCCACCGTTTCTAGACGTATAGTTGAGAGGGACGTCAACATGTTCAGAACATCGGTGCACCGGAAACAGAAAGCAACCCGTGGCTGCCTGCACTTCCAGTCACACCACTCGGGCACCGTCAATTAATAAATGGTGAGACGCCCTCAGCGTCGCGCAGATGTCATCAAGGACGATGACACGACTAGAAAGGGGGAACTGAACATCCTGAACCCGGTGTTCCGCAAGAATGAGTAGCCGAAAGATTTTCTTGACGGGGAGCCCAGAGAGCATGCTCAGCAAGCAGAGCAGCTTGAGGAGGCACAAACAACAAGGGCATCGTTGTCTTGCAGCAATGTCCTGTCATGGATCAGAAGAATCTCTGTGGATGACACAGAATAAGGTGGACAGCCCTCAAAGGGGATCCAACGCTCCCGAGAGCCCTTACCAACGCTCCCGAGAACCCTTAGCAAAGTCAGACCGCCGATACCTATGAACCATGCGAGGACCTGCATATGCGACACACCATACAGCTGTTGGAGGCCCTACAAAGGGCAGACATATGGCCCTCAGTCGGTCACATCGGAGAAGCACAGAAAGGGCACCATCTGTCTGGTCTGGTGTGACTGCGCATGCGCGGCCAGGTGGCGGTCACCGACTGGCGTGGGAAGCGATAGACCATCACCATCCTACTATCATCGACAGAGAGCAAACTGAAAATTTGAGAGGTTCGGGGGGCAACACACATGCCATTGGCTTACAATATATCAGTAGGATAAATGTAGACATCAGCCCAGTACGGCACCCAATCCTGCGGAAAATCCACAAATATTCAGGAGTTGAAAGATACCAAGCTCGAACACGGAGGGGATGTCTTTCCAGGTTAGCTCAATTGGAAGAGTGCTGAATTTGCAATCAAAAGACACTGGTTTGAGTATCAGCCATACCAAGGACAAAATTCGTGATATGACGCGCGCATGGGTAAGAGCAAAATATCGCCCAGATCTTCTCGGAAATATCTCTAACATCAAACATCTCGCCAACCCGATGGCGATGGACGGGGGATTTAGTGGTCTTTGTGTGCATACGAACACATACGAACATGAGGACGGTGGTCTGAGCAATTGTTCATCGGTGATAAGACGGCTCTCTCAATCGTTCAGTAAAACAACACTGAATATTTCATTTCAAATCCAGGCATATGCCGCATTCCAGTCCTTTCGCTCATTCCAGTACAAATCCTTGTCAGTCTTGTGTTTTAATGCAAACCCTCCCTATCTGTGGACATTTTGTCCGCGGCTTTCAACTCTGGGCTCTTAAAAAGAACCTATTTAAGTTTCTTCCCACTATTACACGAGTGGGCGCATGGCGTTTAGAGTGCGAGCGTATTCCGTATGTTGTTTAAAAAGCGGGGAACTGTACTTTGGCAAAATGAATTGACGCCAGGACCAAACCGACCTACTGACAGCTGCATTTTTGCAGTGTAAGTTGTAAGCGCCCGAGGGTAACCCGACCACCTCACTACCAGTTCATATACACCATTGAGCACAATCACACAACTGGTTTACGTACCCCATTCGAGCATTGGTATTCAGCTACCGCGTAATCGAGCACACTCTCCAGTGGCGCTCCATGCGAAACAGGTCAGTGAACTCTGATCACCTCTGGTTGGTTTCGCAGCAGAAGACAGCGCACGGGGCCAACGCAGCCGTAGACGGGCGAGGCGCCCGAGGCTGCCGGCCGCAGGTCAAAAGGTCGCCGCGCACGTGACCACAGCAGACACTCGTCCCGGCTGTGCCATCTGCGGAGCGCCGGGGTCAGTGTGCGCACGTCGTCGATATGATGTGATGACATCTCGATGCTTCTGACATTGATGTGGAAGCATGTTTAGGTGACTAAAGCATGACATGAAGTACAAGGTCGTCACTGTGATGACAAAATAAATCATCATTATGGTCCTCAGAGAACTTGTGCACATTGATTCGCATTACATGATGAAAGTGTACGGGGTCGGAATGTCAAATTAGGCTATTGTTGTACGAAATAGCTGTTAAAGCGAGTGTTCCAATTTGGTATGGGGTTTTGGACTGAAATAGCCATGTTAAAGGTTATTTGGCGTAGTTTGCAGCCCTTGCGCTTCTTAAGACCTAAGCCCTTCTAGTTTTTGAGCTACACGTTTGCGAAGATGTGCACACTTTTTCGAGGAGGCTGTTTCAAGGTCACCCAGACATCCATGATGCCATAATGACGTCATTTAAATCCTCTTATTCCCTTGGCATGCGGCGATCCAGGCCAAGATAAATATACTAACCGAGTCGTTCATATCTCGCGTTCGTGAGCACAACATCCATTATACTACCGTCAATTCGCTCTCTATAAATGTTGCGCAAAATAATATGACGTAATCAAACAATGACGAGTTGAAAAGCACACTAACTTAATAGAAGAATTGTGTTATCTAGAGCAGCCTTTTCCACTTAAAAGTATACGAATAGTCATAAGTGAGCTTATTTCATCACATCTGACGCCTGCTTTGATATAATGAGATGTGAAACATTCCCTTTGAATATAAATCGGAGCTTAAAGTCGAATAATCATAACAATGTGAATTACAGGGCGGAAAAAGACATAAGGACCAGCATCTAGCTCTTATGGCGGCGGGACATCCGCGTCTGACTTATGACCGTCACACGTGGAACATCCGCCTGTGACTAATGGTAGTCACACGCCGGACATTTCCTTCTGACTATTGATCATCGCGCGTCATACCACCTCTTCTCCCGCTCCAGCGGACGCTGCAAACTTACACAAATTCGCATCTCACGCTTGCTCGCATATCTTGCGGACCCATGTATTCACGTTCACATTCGGCTACATTCTTAACATTCTCGGTAAAACTCTCCTTCACGATGTATTCACGCAGTATTCATGTACAAAGTGTGAAGCAGTGCACTGCATTATCCATACTCCACTTGTTTTTTTTTGGGGGGTGGGGACTGTATGTTAGCTATCTGGAAATCGGCGTTCAGCCCAAAAATGGTGTTATCACATGTTGTTTGGTTGCGCTGGTTGGAATGATGGACCAATCCGCGGTTATTCATTCTATCACCACTGACTGACATATTTATCATCGCTGACTGACGCCTCGCGTCATGTTTATTAGAGTCAAGTTTACAGCCATCGCAAGCGTTCGCACGACTCAACGTGCACGACAGCGAATCCTTCGAGGCATCTCGTGCCAAGCGTTGATGAGCACTTGAAACGGGCGAATTGTTTGTCACAATGTCCCAAATGCCATACCTGGAGCAGTCAGGACGACACAGGCTCCAGCCGCACTTCGGACACCGGACTGCCGGGGGTGTGAGTTGACCTTGCGCTGTGTCATAGGTCAAAGGTCGGTGACAGCCCAGGCACACGGGCCCGGTAGCCTGCTTTGGTCCGACTATGAGAGGGGGCTCCTGCAGGATTATGTCGCCTGGAAAAGAGCGAGCCGTCTCAGCACACTGCGCACTGAAAACAGCACAGGCGGGGGTTCTGGCGCGATCATGGCAATAGTGAATCCTGTGCCAAAACAAGCGCAAAAAGATGCCATAAAAAATGGCGCTTTGCTTTCATCACCGCTCCTTTTTCAATAAGGTGGGCAATTTGATGAGCTCTTTTGGTGCGACCCGACAAATACAGACTTGAATTTGGATACAAATGCTACGTAGCATTTTGCGCTTTGCTTCAGACATTGTGACCCTCCGCTAATTTATGGCAGACTCCAATTTTGAGCGCAACTGTTGATGCATGCATGCCACCTCTGAATGCGGCAGCAAAAGCCTGCTGTTGTCTGCTGCCTAGAAGTCGTGTGTAGTCCAACAGACAAGAGGATCAGAGATACATGTCTTTACCGGCAGACAGAGCTTCACTGCCCAAATAATTGGTGCGTGATACCTCGGCGCTAAATCACGTGAGATGTTTGATAGGTCACCAAGGGCGCATTGTCATTGCTTTCATTGTACACTACCGGGCTGGATGGTTCTGGTGGCCACCATGAAGCGCCCCTCTTCTGGCGTCGTCTCCACCCTCCACGCCTTACACGCCGGCTTGTGTTTCTTCCAGTGCTGCTTCTGGTGGTCCCTGCTGCAATAATGGACCTGGTGACACGGAGCAGAGGACGTCACCCGACCGGGCCACGCGCAGCAGAAGACTACCAGACCGGGCATCACGGAACAGATAATTATGTCATGGCATGACAGAAAGTCCAGCCATTCAGTTTGTCACACGTCATTGAGCAGGGACTACGAAATGGTTTACGTTTATCATTCTCTTTCCTTCCCATTAGGAAAAAAGCACTGTTTCGGAAGTGCCTTAACAGGTAGTTTGAGCTGCTAGTGATGGTTAATAATAACCCAGCCCTTGTTCAGAGTGATCTTAGGGGGGAGGGGGCAACCTATTCCCTGAAAATAACCCACACCTTCAGCCACCACGTGCCTCACCATCCGCCTGCCATACGCACCGTTTGGCAGCTAGCGCAGGCCATGGAGGAGGACACGCCGCACACGGGACACTGACGGTCCAGCTTCGGCATGGTGCTGCCGTCGACACTGCGGGACGAACAGGTGGCGGCTCAGCGCTCCGAGGCGTTCACGTTCTGGCGGAGAGGCAGGCGGTGGGCATCCAGGCAAATACTGCGAGCGGTGGGCCAGTGGTGTAGTTTCGTAAAAATAAGTTGGGAGACGGGGCAGTAAAAAAGGAAATCTTCCGCCAAATACGCCAACGAATGGTTCCCCCTGGATTTAGCGCGCCTATTCTCAAGGCTGGGGAGCTGCAGCATGCATTAGAAATTTGGGTTGGGGCTGGAGCTGGAGCCCAAGTTGGGGACTAGAGCCCCTAACTGAATGGGAAACTACATTCCTGCATGGGGTGTTGCAGTGAAGCAACGTAAATACGCAGCAGTAATATTCTTACGAGCGAAGAAAATAAAAGAGTACTTAAAACCCGGTTTCAAATAAGCAGAGACCATGTCAACGAGCAAAACTCGACAAAACAGCCGTGCTTCATGAGTAGATCGGCACCAAAATTCCGACAGACGGAGGGTGCCACAGCGATTATCAAGCGTCTCTTTCCGTCTCGTCTGTCTCGCGGCGCGCCGACCCACACCCTTTTATTTGCCCTGCTGTCATCGCCGGCGCACGCGGCTGGCCCCAGGCCACGCGCGCGCCTCTCCCGGGGTCAAAAGGTCTCGCCAGTGGCCCAGGTAATGGGGCGGTGACTTTGGCACGGTGCCAGCCTTCTGTTGGGAGCGGCCAGGATGATAAGTGGCGGGCCGTTGCGCCAAATATACCCGGCGGAGGTGTTCGAGCGACTGGCGCAGTCGACGCCGGCGGCGACGTACAGAGGCGACCTAAGCCCGCGCCGCCGTCTACGTCGGAGCCTGGGCCAGGGCGGCGGGGCGACGACAGATGAAGGACCAGGGATGCACCGGGCGAATCATTCAACGTGACAGGCTACTACGGACCCGGATGACCGGTCTGGCTATGCGGCTCGTGTGGTTCGACTTTGACGTTATGGTGTGTGACCTAACTGTGACGTGATGGTGTGTGACCTGATCGTGGTGTGACGGTGTGTGACCTAACTGTGGCGTGATGGTGTGTGACCAAACCGTGATGTGATGGTGTGTGACCTAACTGTGACATGATGGTGTGTGACCTAACCGTGACGTGATAGTGTGTGACCTGACCATGATTTGATGGGGCATCATCTGAATGTGACGTGATGGTGTGTGACCTGGATGTGGCACATCAGGAATGAGAATGATGTTCTTCGGTAAAAGTGGCAAAGATCCAGTAACAAACATTGTGGTCCCATACCAACACGCCGCGCGAGGACATTTTTCCTTAAACTGGTTCGCTCAAAATTGTTCCGGAGCATTTGCTTGGTCGATATATATATATATATATATATATATATATATATATATATATATATATATATAGTTGTAAACGGGGGCGGTACCACCAGCAAAATTTTGACTAAAGGACTGAAAGATACAGAGAGGCAGTTAAGAGATGATGTACATATTATTGTGCGCCAAGCGGACACGGCACCTGTCTTCGTCAACTTGGATCGGACAGCGTACATCAGCAAGATAGGCGAAATCTTGTCAGATGAACGTGAGCTCCAGATTATTGAACAGGACTCCACAAACCGGCTTCGGATTAAGTCAAGCATTTTGTTTTTAACTCCACCAATGCGCTTGTGGGAGGTGTTCACTTTCTCAGATAATCGCTGGCTATCTCTCAAGCTATGCTTATGGAGGTGTAAGACCCATAACAATGGAAACCCCTGACGCTCATCATTTACCGGTGAACATACCAACACAAAAGCTAAAAAAAAAACTTACCCCTTTTTGAGCCCCATATATCCTAGCTCAGCAACGCAGTGACTCTGTTGATGAGTTCCTTGACATTTTCTGAACGCGACGCCCCAACTGTGATCCCTTGATATCTGGTGAACAGGACGCCCCAACCGTGAGCCTGCGTCGATTGACTCTGTTGATGAGTCCCTTGATATCTGGTGAACAGGACGCCCCAACCGTGAGCCTGCGTCGATGGACTCTGTTGATGAGTCCCTTGATATCTGGTGAACAGGACGCCCCAACCGTGAGCCTGCGTCGATGGACTCTGTTGATGAGTCCCTTGATATCTGGTGAACAGGACGCCCCAACCGTGAGCCTGCGTCGATGGACTCTGTTGATGAGTCCCTTGATATCTGGTGAACAGGACGCCCAACCGTGAGCCTGCGTCGATGGACTCTGTTGATGAGTCCCTGATATCTGGTGAACAGGACGCCCCAACCGTGAGCCTGCGTCGATGGACTCTGTTGATGAGTCCCTTGATATCTGGTGAACAGGACGCCCCAACCGTGAACCTGCGTCGATGGACTCTGTTGATGAGTCCCTTGATATCTGGTGAACAGGACTCCCCAACTGTGAGCCCAACTGTGAGCACTGCGTCGATTGATGTAGAGAGCTTGCTCATCAAATCTCCGATCGGCACCACGATTAAGATCATTCCAAGTATCATGTATCACAATCGGTGTGGCGTCCTTCCCTCTCTGCAGCTCTCTTCCGCTATTCTCGAGCAGCTGATCAGAGCTTACATCGCCAATACACCGTTCAGAAGACCTAATGGCAAGCTGTATGTTCAGAAAGATAGGTTTGCCATGGGATCACCCCTGGTCCTCTGTTTGTCAACTTTGACATGGTTCAGGTCGAGGACTTTGCCCTTACTAATCCTATAACCGCCGCCGGCACATATTGCAGGTGTGTCGATGACATCATCCTTGACGTAACATCATGACATCATCCTTGACATCACCCTTGACGACCCGCACCACTTGTAGCGCCTCATTGTAGTGTTTGAAGACAGTTCTGTCCTCCACTTCATCTATGAAAAAGCAAGAAAAGCACAATTCCTGTCCAAGACGTTCTTATAGAAGCCGGGGAGGGGGGAGGGGGAGAGAGGAGCTTTCGTCACAATCGCTTATCGCAAGCCCTCTAAGGTGAGACTGACAATGAACGCCCGTAGTGAATGGCCCAAAATGTATACAAAGGACGCTGTTGGAGCCTTTGCCCGATGGACATTGCGCACATGTTCCAGCTATGAAAGTTTACATGGTGAGCTCTGCCGCGTTACTTAGCTTATGGTTGCGGAAGACCGAAGAGTGCCGAAGAGTTTTGTATTGCTTTTGAGATTGGATAACGACGTATTCGAACGTTAAATTACTAAGACGACACATGTCTCTCGGTGAATTGTCTTGTATCCTATCGGACGATGTTTAACGCAACGCACGAAGGACTGAAAAAACTAGCCAGGAGCTGCCCTGAGCGGAAAGCGCCATACTCTATAATGGCCCATGCCAAAGTGAACGCATATGCATAATGTATAAATATATATATATATATATATATATATATATATATATATATATATATACACTGGCTTATTCACGATGTCGTGAAGCACATCAACATATGCTAACTAAGTTGTACTTCTTATATCAACTCCCAGTGTGTTTCACAACTAATGAAGGCTGCACCGTCAGGGAAAAAACAAAATTATAGCATACACCATGATGGTTCAACACACCCGCACGACACAAACATGAGGCGCAACAAAACTCGTATACAACAGCTTATTGGACGTAAAATTATCCCTTACCGGCGTCGGGGTCCCAACAATTGGCACAGGGCCTCCAGTGCTGCTAGTAGAAATGGGATGGAGGGCACCTTCGTCACTGGAGCCCCTCACTGATACTGGGTCCTTCCATGGTCTCACTATGGACATCTTTATCATGAGTTCTCAAATCTCATTTCATTGTCAGTAAACCCCGCTCAGCACAAAGTAGTCTCTAATATTCGCGGTTCCGTTCATGTCCCATTTCAGCCAACGTGCTTCTCGCCGACTTAGGTCATCTGGACAGCGCAGGAGCTTGTTAGGTACTGTGCGCCAGTGACCGACACAGTGACCCCTCACTGTGCGCCAGTGACCGACACAGTGACCGACAGTAACCCCGACAGTGACCGCCAGTGACCGACACAGTGACCGACACAGTGACCGACAGTAACCCCGACAGTGACCGCCAGTGACCGACACAGTGACCGACACAGTGACCGACAGTAACCCCGACAGTGACCGCCAGTGACCGACACTGTGACCGACACAGTGACCGACAGTAACCCCGACAGTGACCGCCAGTGACCGACACAGTCCCCGACAGTAACCCCGACAGTGACCGCCAGTGACCGACACAGTGACCGACAGTAACCCCGACAGTGACCGCCAGTGACCGACACAGTGACCGACAGTAACCCCGACAGTGACCGCCAGTGACCGCCAGTGACCGACACAGTAACCCCTCACTGTGCGCCAGTGACCGACACAGTAACCCCGACAGTGACCGCCAGTGACCGCCACAGTGACCGACAGTAACCCCGACAGTGACCGCCAGTGACCGCCAGTGACCGACACAGTAACCCCTCACCTGTAGCCCCTCACCGACACAGTAACCCCTGTGACCGACACAGTAACCCCTCACTGTTTCAGGGACTCCGAGCAATGCAGATCGTCGGCCCCAGCCTGATCCCCGCTTGGGAAGTGGGTCCCCAGGCCCCAGACTGCCACGGAGTGGACTGTTCGGTGATGGTGGCCATCACAGGACTCTCATTTTGGCAGCGTGGGCCCCTGACCTAAGCAGGTCCCTCTCATTGTTTCATGGGCGCCGAGCAGTGTAAATCGTGTACTACGGTCGCGTCTGCATGGAAAATGGCCTCCGACCCTATATATATATATATATATATAATATATATATATATATATATATATAATATATATATATATATATATATATATATATATATATATGGCCTATATAATAGTTTTCCTGCACGGAAAATGGCCTCCGACCCGTTCCTGCGGGTTAGGCCCCCCGAAAGCGAACTCCGGCCAGTCATTTTGGCCATTCAATCGGGTTGCTGATCGTCGGTTCCAATCAGCCCGTGGACACCGTCGGGACCTTAGGGGAGGGTGTGCCCTCTGCCTCCCCTCACGCCTCCCTCCACACCCCTGTCATTTACTCGTGAGTTTTGCGACACCCCAGTCATTTCCAGGCTAAGCCAGAAAGTAAAGTGCCTCGTAACAATCAGCTGTCCCTTATGGGTTGACCATTTACGACGTGCGCAAATTTGAAGCAAATGGCCGCCACGAAGCACCAAATGAAAGTGCGCTCTCTGAAAGGACAGCTGCCGCAAGTACTTGCACCCCCATCAGTGAAGATCGGTGAAGTAAAATTTTCCTGTACATTTGCCTGATTAACTGGCAACTTACTTTCTTCGCCGCTCTTTTGTGACCTAAGCGAAGCACGTTTCAGCTCGCTGTGGGGAGCGTGTTTGCTACCGCGCAGGTACCCGAGCTGTTTTCTATGCTTGAACAAAATGTTTTCAGTAGCGTCCAAAGTCCCCAGTGAAGTTCTGCACGATATTTGGAGCGCAGCTCGGTTTCTTAGCGATAGCTGAAGTCTGGGAAAAATTCCTGATCTTTGATTTGGTTTTCGTTGATATTTCCTGCTACGCATTTTCGGATGGTTCTTACTCACATTTCTGGCGATACTGCTGGCCTGCAGTGAGAGATCTCCTGAAGATGTTGGTGGTTTCCGTTTTCGTTCAAACCGCGGTTTCCTGGTGTCTCTTGAACTCTCTCAATAGCCTTCCCACTCAGTAGCCTCTTCAAGTATCAGTGAAATTATCGGTAATGCTTAAGGGTCCCCGATCCGGCTCACCTCGACGCTGCCTGTTTGGCTCACACCGTAGGTCCTGGTCTGGCTCACACCACATCTCCTGGTCTGGCTCACATCGCAGCTCCTGGTCTGGCTCACACCGTAGCTCCTGGTCTGGCTCACACCTTATTTCTTGGTCTGGCTCACGCAGTAGCTTTCGGTCTAGCTCACACCCTATTTCCTGGTCTAGCTCACACCCTATTTCCTGGTCTTGCTCACTCAGTAACACCCAGTCTTACTCACCGGGTATTTTCTGATCTGGATCACTGAGTAGGTCCTGGTTTGGCTCACACCGTAGCTCCCGGTTTAGCTCACAATGTAGCTCCCTGAGAGACGCCCACCAGCCTCATAAGCTCCGGGTGAAGCCCCGGCACAGTTCTGGGGGCGGAAGTTGGCCCGACTCTCCCGCCCCGGCACAAGATGAACGCAGACAGCTGGTCTAACGCAGTGGCGGAGTCAGCGGACGCCAGCGGGTGGTGCTGCAACGACAGTGACGGAGTCAGCGGACCCCATAGCATCGCATGGGCATAGATGCATAAGCAACGCTGTCACAGCGGCAATATAATTCATGTAACAAACAATGAGGGTCCGCAAATGCACGGTCATGTATCGCGTCTTTTCACGCTTTTATTTCTTTATTTTCTTCAATTTCTTGTCATTTCATCGATTTCCTATCGCACATTTCACGAGACATACCAGGAGTTCCCAAGCAAGCGTGTTCTTGAATGGGCAAACAAAATAACCGCGGTTCGACTACTCCATGCATTTCGAAGCTCCACGTACCATTGGTCATCCTAATACCTTAACAGTTCACTGCTTTAGCTCAGCTCTCACAGGCGAATTCCCTGAATATCCCCATTTCCCCTCCTTATACCCCTCCCCCGCTAAATACCACGCCGACACGACCAATCCCCACCGGCGAGAGGCTCGCTGCGCCCTCCCCCCCCCCCCTCCCCCGTCCCGCGCGTCGCCGGGGCTGATCTGTGTCACAGCGGCCCCTGTGGCATGTTCACAGGCACGTGCCAGCTGACAGCGTGACGTAACGGCTCATTGGGCGGGCGACGTGTCGGGCGCGAAGCTCTGGGCGTCTCCGGCCGGCAGCCACATCGTCACATTGTCACATCGTCACATTGTCACATTGTCACGCTGGCACATCGTTACACCTTGCGCTGCCACACTGTCATACTGTCACATTGCCACATCGTTACACCGTCACACCGTCACACCGTCGCACTGTCACAGCGTCACACCGTCATATCGTCACACTGTCACATCGTCACATTTTCACATGTTCACACCGTCACACCGTCACATCGCTACACCATCACACCGTCACACCATCACACCGTCACACCATCACGTCCCACAACTCACAAATCACGCCGTCACACTTCATACCGCCACATCGTCACACCATCTCCACGTGACGTGCCACATGACGGTGCAGTGGTGTGTGATGGGTGTGTTGTCAGCTGGGCATGGCTCGCGCTGGTTGTGAGGCGGGGAGTTAAGGCTGCTCAACGCTTTGCTTACGATCGGGTTAAAGCCACCGGTCCCAGCCGGCCAGCTGCTTTGTAACATTCATGACGGAACGAGGCACACAGAGCCCTGCAGTATGCAAGCGGCAGGCAACCTCACGAGTCCCACCATTAGATGGCTCCGGGGCAGGTTATAACGGTCGTGTCGAAGGCAGACCACACTGACTTCTCCACGAAGCCGCTGGGGTCCTGCTGTGCCGACGGGCACTGGAATGTTGCGGCACAGTCTAACAATACAAATTTGAAGCTGGAAATCAGAGATCTGGCGTCAATGGTGGGCGACGGAGGCAATTGCCCGAGTTGAGTTTTAGTCGCAAATCTGCAAAGTTGCTTCATAATTGTGCAGTCAATGTTTAAGAACCACGTCCTTGATCTTATCCGGTATGTATAAGCCGGCTTAGGGAAGAGTTTTCAGGTAGTGATTGCTCTCCAGCTCATGTGATTCACATCCCTGATGTGATATCAGGGTCCAAGTCGCCCACACCTTGGCTGTTGTGATGGTGCAGAGCTGTGTGCGACAGCTCAGAGGTGTCTCCAGCGATAGCTTAGGAGATGTTTAGTGACGCTTCAGGGGTGCGTTAGGACGACTGTCCTGAAGTGACGGCTCCCCTCTTGTGACGACTCCCCTATTGCGTCGTCTCCCCTATCGCACCGTCTCCCCTATCGCACCGTCTCCCTGTGACGTCTCCTGCCGCGTCTGCTCCCCTTCAGGGGCACCTTGCGCCGCCTCTGCAGTTTTGGACGCAGAACAATCCGCAGTCGGGTATAAATACCGTCCGGCGGGCTGGCACGCTCCGAGCACGCCGGACCAGCCCCGAACCGGGACTGAGCCGGCGCCCTGGCACTGGAAACTGCCGGTTCAGAGATTGCACGCGGCCGGAGCTCCTCTGATCATTTACGGAAGTCGGTCAGTGCTCACAGCGGCGAATCAATGCCCGGCCTTCGTAACGAGGCCGCGCGCCGAGGGGGGCCATTGCGAGGGCGCCCGGGGGCTCCAGGAAGCTCGAGTGCACGCACGGCTCTGGCCGCGGGGCTGGGAAGAGGGCGGTGCACTGTCCTCGTGACCCTGACTGTCTCGGGGTGAAAGTGTTGGTACAGGAGACCCTGGCCGCTTTCATACGGCCTCTGCCCATGCAAACTGCTGCTGTAGCCGGCTTCCGCCTGCGGCGGGGGTTCCCAGTGAGGACCTCGCCTGCAGGCGACGAAGATTGCCAGTGAGAGCCTGCGCCTGTCGACGCCGGGGATTTTCTAAGTAAGGGCCTATCCCTGTCGACGACGAAGATTGCCAGTGAGAGCCTGTGCCTGTCGACGCCGGGGATTTTCTAAGTAAGGGTCTGTCCCTGTCGACGATGGAGGTTTCCAGTGCCAGTGTCTCTGTGTGTAGACGATGAAGGTTTCCCAATGTGAGGGCCTTTGCCTGAAGACAACGGAGATCTACAGCATGAGGGCCTCTGTCTGTATACGGTGGGGATTGCCAGTGTGTGAGCCTCTGTCTGTCGACAGAGTTTCGGTGGCACAGCCGGAATAGGGCCGAAAAGAAGCGATGTTGAAAAAAGTGGGGATCATATACCTTGCTTTGTTGCAAGGCCTGATTCCACTTCCTAAACCACTGCCTATGGTTTCATATTTTCTACGGCCAGCCGGCCGATACAAAAATGATAATAACTATCAAACTAAGTAAACTAAATAGCTGCCAAATATTAGCGACCAGCCTACCCGATTTCGATAATGCCAGGTTTGCCTTACAAATTCCAATTCATTATTTCATGGGGAAAAATGTGCGCCGCGTTAGTCATATTTAACCCGACTATAGCCAGAACAAAGGACTCATTCATCAAGCACAATAATTGAGACAAATTCATTTTCATGCGTTTATAATTTAACTGAAGCAATTTGAACGTACCGGTAAGTGCCCATCCGAAGAACAAGAACAGATGAAAAACATGCCACGTCATAAACGTGAGGACCGTTTGCTGTAGTAAATACGGCTGATGTGTACGATTTGGTGGGTTGGGATTGGAGCGAGAGAGTGTATAACGCAAGGAAGATGTGAAGCTGTGATAGATCCGGGCAACTGTGTATCAGGACGTATCGTTTATATGACCTTCCAATGACAGCGATGTTTTTCTCTGGCTGTATATTCTAAGGCCTTGCGCAGATTTGATTAGCTCATTTCGACTTGTGCGTCTAGTCGCGATGCCTTGTTATCGTGTAAAAACAGATGAAGTATAATGGCAAACAGCCGGTGCTTGACTAGGCGGGTTAGCAATTTTGACCTTACGCATAGGCACTGTTTTCACGAAAAAGCTCACTAAATATATTTAAATATTACCGCACGCAGATGTATCCAGAGATACTTCGTCTCTGGAAGAGTGACTGGTGTTTTGTTCCCCTCTCCTACGCTGCTGTCTCAGCTATGATGTACAAGCAGGCGCGCAGCCACGATATTTTTAAGGTACGGGCCTGGAGCTCGGGATTACGCCTCACGTCAGCCTTCAACTTTCTGTTGGGAGGAATGTGAAAGTTTTTGTGGTGGAAAGCGGAAACACCGGATCTAGGGAGATCCGGAGCCCCTCCCTGGCTGCGCTCCTTCGTCGAAGCAGGCATGGTGGTCCCCAAACAAGAAGCCTCAGCAGGCAGACGGAAATGCGTAGATGGTCTGCATTGCCATCTTGCGGAAAAACCGCAAATTGACAACCCTTGGTTCAATTATTTGAATACTTTCTTCGAGTGACTCTGTCCAACACACGACGCCATCGTCGTTTGTCTCGACTTAAAAAGTATTGGTGATCGAGAAACATTTTTGTTCCGTTCAGTTGTTCTGGCGAAAGTGAACGTATTTTTCGTCCGTGTGCGCTTGCAAGGCTACAAAATAGGAAGTCACGTGAGAGCTGTGGTAGCTAGATACTTTTACGCCTACGGTGACAGTTAATGGACTTTATCAACGTGCAAACGTGACCCAAACACACAAGGAACGTGGGCTTCTGGCTTGGTAAGCGTGTCGTCGCACTTTGCGCTCGGTTAAACATCACTAGTTAGACTTGGAAAACAAATAATACACTGGTCATGGCTGGTGAGTTTCAGGCCAGGAGACACCTCATAACAACATGTAATGACAGGCTAGTTCGGGTCATGGCTTACACTGCATCAAGCAGACTCATAGAACGGTTCGCGATTCTGTCATAAACAGGCGATGAACATGCATTTCTATCCCCTATGCAACAGCGTCCATCCTGCGGGATCAACTCCAACGGGGCAGCTGTATTTGCTATTGTCGAGGCTATTGCTGCCGCCGTATTTGCCGCCGCTGCGAACGACTGGTGACGTCACGTGCTAGATCAAGCAGGAAGCCGCAGCCCGCAGAGGGCTGAAGGGTCATTGTCGGAATCGCCGGTCCCTCGAGAGGGACAAGAGTTAGCCGACAGCTTGGTGAGCATCAAATGCCTGGCAGGTTTTGAATGAGCGGGGGTTTAATCTGTTCGTACGTGAGCCGCTGCTGGTACTGCTTCTCAATGATTCGGCCCCGTTTTAGCTTTGTCATTATGGCAGTCGATTTGCGGCATTTTTTGTGGTTCTCCAAATGAGCGAAAGAAAGAACTGGTTTTAATCTGAGGAGAAATCATAATCGAAGATAGCGTCAAAAAGGGCCCTGCCGAATGCAGTGCTTACAAGTACCTCGGTTGGGTAATCTGAGGGCTCAAGATTTACGGCCTGGAGGGAAATGCAAGCGACCAACGAAACATGCAGGTATTTATGTGTTTATTTCAGTGGATGATTCGCATTTGGTGTGGCTATTTGTCACGAAACAGCACACATACTACGCACCTACTCATATACTACGCACTGTT